GAGTACTCAAAGCAATCCATTGCATTAAGATGATTGCACAAAAAAGAACTCTTCCTAAAAAAAGACAAAGATTTCAGTGTGTGCTTATTTCTGCTTATCTCCACACAGCTAGCACCTATGAAAATCCTTAGACATTTGTCAAGCTTTGTATACAGTACACTTCAGAAGAAACAGGATTTTCTATACTTCAGCTCTACCAAACACTTAAGTGTTTCTTCCTAAAAGGTTGAAGCCATGTTTGTGGTTGAAGGTGTTATACTAGTGTTTATGAAGAATCCTCTAATTCTCAAAAGTAGAAAAAATACTTTCTGGAAATAAGGACGCAACATACACAGAACTTCAGAAAACTGAAAAATTTGACCTTGTTTAAAGAGATCTTATGTTCTTTGAATAAAAAACATACTTCAATTTCAAAGTATTTGGAAAGCAATATTTTCAAGTAAACTTTTAAGCAATTTGTAATTTCAAATATAGTTTTCCAGACTTAATCACCATTAAGTCACTAAATACATCAATTATCATTGACTGAAGATGATTTCACAATTAATAAATTTCAATAATTACATCTCTTATATGTTTTAATTCTACACAGAATTCCTAGACTGGGAGGCAGATTTTCATCATGATCATAAACCACAGAAACTACAAAGACTATTGTCAACTCAAAGATACATTTCTGTGATATTTCATAGCAAGACACATATAATTTAGTCTACATTTTCAGCCAATCTAAATAAAATAAATTTTCTGGTCTTTTTCTTCTAGATAAAAAGCATGAGATTAATGAAAAGGAGTTTTTTTTCACTACTTGGAGTAAAATAGCACTTTTGAGAAATACTTTAAGTAGGCTCTGTTAGTCTCTAAAATGTGATCGCAACAGTCCTCTACTTAAAGCATAGGTCAGACACCTAGAAAAATTACTACAAGTAAAGAACTCTGAATTAACTTTGAGTTTTCTTTTACTTCTAGGCTCTAGTTTTCTGCTTGAATAGAAATAACAAAACTTTCCTATTTCATGGGGTTCACCTGAAAAAAACACTATAAAAACACCTGTAGAACAGATTGAGAAATTACAGTATTGAAGGCTAAGCAAGCACCTAGAATGGCTACCCAGTGAGTTTTAAACATACCTTCATAATAGAAGAACATTGGCAGTCATATTAAAAATTAAAATTTGTTATTTGGCAAATACCAACAGATTCTCTTTAGAGAGCTTTCTAATCAAACAACAGACAAACACAAATAGTGTTAGAAGATACCCAACTCCTTTTTCCACAAAAATAAAAATAAAATTTGCACTACCTTATCTTCATTCTCGCTAATTACTTCTAAATCTTGACATCTAACTGGGATATACCACTTCCAATCTGTTCTTTTGACAGCTTCTGTCCTTCCTCCACTGCGGACCTTTGTTGGCATGGGCCCACTCATCCAATTTAGCCCTGCTCTCACAAACAGAAGGTTTCTCCAGAAAACAGCTCATTCTGAAACGATGGCGAGCTCTGTCTGCAGCATAAACAAGTCAATTCTTTGCTGCCAAGCCTGTAAATCTAAGGAAGAAGGCCCCAGAACTGCAGCACCCACCAATGCACAGGTGACATACTTTGTGTATTACCTCACCAGGAGGCAGTAAAGCAGCAGCTGGTTCTTTTTATCCTTCTTGAATACAGAGAGTAAGTAGTCTTCAAAGCTACCTTATGTACACTCCACCTTCCTAGCAGTACAAACCTTCAGCATATGCAAGAATCAGGAAACAAGGCTCAATGGACCTATTTGGCAAAAGCAGGGTCCAGAAACCAGTTCTAGGTGCCCAAACTGGGACTGGATCAAGGCATTTCAGATGAAACATCTGGAGGAAGAGCAGCAGCCGTGATTTGGTACCACCGGGATCCTTCATCCAACAGTGGCAGCACTCTGCGCTGCAGGAAACTCCAGCCCGGAGTACAGTGAGCACTTCTGAAACCTCTTCCTCCTCCTCATCCTCTGTCAAGGCAGAGCGGCTGGGGGTGCACCTATCCACCCAGAGCTGGCAGGGCTCCCTTCTCAAGGTAAAGCACTTGGACTCTCTCTTAGAAAGATCTAAACAATTTTTTTTTTTTTACTTTGAAAAGAGGAATACTGCTTACATTTAAAAATTTTCCCAGGAAAGAATTTTAATTACCTGTTTAAAAGCCATGAAGACACCTTCCACTCTTGATAAAGCTGTGCACCATGACTGAAAGGGATGCAAGGTCTGCACACACTACACAAGGAAGCCCAACTTCACAGCTTTGCCATTAGGGGAGTTCTCTGCAAGCTGGCAGAGCTGGATTTCAGACTAAGCCTATTTATGCACTAATATTAAATAGCCATTTAAAGAGAACAGAAACTAGAGTGGCAAGAGTGATCTCAATCTCTTCTAACCACTAAGCTTCAGAGCTAAGCGAAGGTCCACTCGTTTCCTCTCTTTCATTCATGAACATGTCGCTCATTCCTCTAAGGTCACTCAGATTCATCAGGTGGGGTGCAGGACTCACTTAGCTTAGCTGGCATGGCATGTGGTCATAAGACCAGGGAAGCAGAAGACTCAAATGTGCATCTCTTAGCCCAAAGAGGGAATTTCAACTGGCTTTTCTACTTCTTGGTAGTGTAATTAAAATTACTCTCTAATTATGGTATAACACAGGGATTCTTTCATCTGAAAATAAAACAAAATAGCAAGGACAATATGTAAAATGCACAGATACCTTCCACTTAGAGACCTGGCCAATTGGTTTTCGGTACAACTAAAGCTCAGAGATTTTTCAGAACATGGTTTTGTATCAATATAAGCATACAGTTGTCATCCAAAACCCCCAACAAAATAGTACTACGATTATTTGTTTCTCAGCATGGATTAAATGCCTTTCTGCAACTGTAAATTATAATTTAGAAGTCCTTGTACAGATGCATATTGTATCTGTAAATATGCACTTTTCAGGTTCAACTGGTAAGAAAGATGCAAGCTTAAGTCTACAGCACATTAGGTCTTACACTGCCTGCAAACCTAAGTTCCAAAACATAACACCCCCACCACAACCCACATATGTAAATCAGGCGAGTTAACAAGTAAAAATCTGGTACCCTTGCTGAAGCTACATCCCTTTAATGCATCATATTCCTTTCAACTACAACTCAATTAAAATTATCTGGGCTTGCTAAAATTTTCAGGATTTAAGCTGCATTTAGATTACTTTACATAAATGAAATTTAGGATTACAACGCTGCTCATATGTCTCACAAAATATCTAACCAAAAGGTAAAAGCTGGAGTCTTGCAGTGAAAGAGCTGGCAGATGAAAAATGAGAGCAGCATTCAGACCCACTCTCAGCAGTGCTGAGTCAATGTAACTATGGAAGTACAAGCTGCTTTCTATTTTGCTTCACCTATCTACAGCTGGTCAGCTGGGGTCTGAATGCAGCTGCTCCAGCACAAGGTACAAAGCAAGCTGCAAAAGCCACAGATATAAATTCAGAAGCTAAATGAATTTATAGTGATGATTAAGTACAAGAAAACCAAAAGCATTTAGTAATTAATAATGTCTACCCAAACTACTTAAAGAAAAAACCTTCTGCAAGGTATGCGAGAACGATAAGAATGGAAGGATACTGAAAATGCACTTTTTATAATAAATTCAAAATAACTCCATTACATTGGTCTTTAGAAATCTCCACTGAGAGAGTCAGGACACACATTAAGAAACACCCACTATGAAAAAGTTGCAAGTCTTTAAAAATAGCAGCGCTTTGCCTCCTCCCTCCCCTTTCCCCTACTCACCCTCCTCCCCAATTTCAAAATACATCTTCCCCAGGCCTTGGTCTGGAATGGCAGTTTCTGTGAACAGACCATACCCGACCATATGATTAGCCATTATTATTATCATCACCTTTTATGCTCTACTCTACATTAAGATGCAAATCCAACAGATGTGGTCCAACTAAGTTATTTACAAGGGTTTCCCTTTCAGATGTCCAAGGCAAAGCTACAACCAGTTCTGCGATATAATTACAGCCTCTCTCCACGGGCAGTAAGAGACGTCTGCCTGCGATGGTCTGGCCAGCGGCATTTTCTCATCTACGCTCTGGTTCAAACGGTTGCTATGATTTCAAATGGTGATCTACCCTTATTTTAGCGCGACTGGCTGCATTTCAGCTGCCGACATCTGACTGATTGATGCACATCTAAACAACGCAGCGATTATAAAAACACACTGGCAGTAGGCACCGGTGTTTCACCACCGTGGGCTCGCTCCTAACAGAGCGGCTGGCAACGAGACCGTGGGAAATTTAAGAGAAACACCAGCACACATGAGGCCTAACACTCACAGCCGTCACGTCCACCGAGAAAGAGGTGGCGTCCTGCACTTTTAAGAGGGAGAAGTTCATGGAAATGCCTATGCAGGTATCTGAACAGGCAGATCTCTCGCCTGCCGCACGAAAGCATCCAGGTGCTTCCCCTGCACATCGGCCACAGCACGTCCACCACGAAAGTGCACTCGAGGGCTGCCTGACCCGATGCACCACTGGGGGAACTGCTTTTCCGCCCCCACGGTTCCAGCCTCTGGCCAGACTCTCCACCGTATTCCATACGGGAGCACCCCAAACTCCCCGCACACGCAACCGGGGGGAGGGCGAGCGGCGGAAGCCACCGGAGCCCCCGGCCCCTGCCCCCGCTCCGCCACCCCCGGCCGGCGCCCGCCCACGGGGAGCCCGGGGCTGCGGGCGCGGCTCGGGAGGGGGCGGCGGGATGGGGGCAATGCCCTGCCGCCCGGGGGAGGGCGGAGGGAGGCGGGCGAGGGAAGGGAGCCGCGGGGCAGGCACCTGAGCGGGCGTGGGCAGCCCCCGGGCCGGAGATCCGGGCACCGGGGCGGGGGAGGAGGGCACGGAGGGGGGGCGGGAGGCCCGCAGGCCCCGGCGGGGCGGGCCGGGCCGCAGGTGGGCGTCGGGCGCGGCCGCCGGAGGAGCGGCCGCCGGGCAAGTCACCTCTTGACGCGGATGATCTGGTCGCGCATGGGTCGGATGTCCTGGAAGCTCTGCTGGTTGACCAGGCTGTAGACGAGGATGAATCCCTGCCCGTTCTTGATGTAGAGGTCCCGCATGGAGGCGAACTGCTCAGTGCCCGCCGTGTCCAGGATCTCCAGGACGGAGGGGGAGGCGTCCACCTCGATCTCCTTGCGGTAGAAGTCCTCAATGGTGGGGTCGTACTTCTCGATGAAGGTGCCGGTCACGAACTGCACCGTGAGCGCCGACTTCCCCACCCCGCCCGAGCCCAGCACCACCAGCGCTGCCGGCGGCGGGGCCGCGCTCACGGGCTGCGGCGCGGCCGGGGTGGGGCGGCGGCCCCGCCTCCTCCTTCCCGTGTCGCCACGGCAACAGCCAACGGGGCGGGACGGGGGAAGAAAGAGCTGCACCGTGAGCGCCGACTTCCCCACCCCGCCCGAGCCCAGCACCACCACCTTGTACTCGCGCATCCTCCCGCCAGCGCGGACCGCCCGCCCGACCCGCACCTGCCGACGGCCCCTCCTCACCCCCCCGCCATCGGCCGCCCCGCCCTGTGCCCGCCGCCGCAGCCGCCTCCGCTCCGCTCCCCGCCCGGCGGATGCTCCGGGCCGCCGCGGCGGCTCCTGGGCGGCGCTGCCGGCGGCGGGGCCGCGCTCACGGGCTGCGGCGCGGCCGGGGTGGGGCGGCGGCCCCGCCTCCTCCTTCCCGTGTCGCCACGGCAACAGCCAACGGGGCGGGACGGGGGAAGAAAGAGCGGGGAGGAGGAGGAGGAGGAAGAGGAGGGCGGGCACCGCCCCGTCACGTGGCGCGCCCCCCTTCCTGCCCCCGGGCGCGGCGGCCGCACGTGATGCCGGCGGGCGGCGGCGCCGCTGCTGTCGCCGCTGTCGCCGCTGTCGCCCGTGTCCCTTCCCCTCCCCGCGTCCCCTGCCGTGCCGTCGCTCCGGGGACACAGCGTCCCCCGGCCCCGCCGCCCGGGCCGGCTCCGAGCGGGAAGGGGCGGGACGAGCCAATGGGAGCGCGGCCGGGCTCCCGCGGTTCCGCTTCCCGGGCGGCGGGAGGCGGCTCCGGCGCGGTAAGTTCGGGCCGCTCCGGACCTGGCGGCTTTCCGGCCGTGTGAATCCCGCTGCTGCGTGTAGAAGTCAGTGGGATTCATCGAATCCATGGCAGTGATCCGGCGCGCGTTGGATCCCTTTGGACGCACTGCCGTCTGGGCCGTGCCTGCAAGGGGACGGCCGGAGGTGTTTGTTGGCAGTGGTGCCTGCCTTCTCGTCCCCTTCTGATAGAGGGAAGGGGCCAGTAAAAGTGGTGGTGCACTTTGGTAAAAGTGCTCCATCAAAACAGTATAGAAAATGAAGATGATTGATGGGATGGAATTCACAGGTCCTCCCAGGAACTGGTATCACTCCGGAAAGATGCTCACTTGTATGCTTGCCTGTCTGCTACGAGACAGACTCCTTAACGCTTCTTTTATTTATTTTCCCTTCTTTTTTTTCTCAGTCATAATTGGCTAGAATTATTTGATACAGGGAGTAAAGACTTTGTTTCCATTGGAGGGTCGAAGGTCAGCCAGAGCCCTTGGTCTGCTGTTCAGATGCTTTCTGAAAATGCTTTCTGGCTGTCGGAAATGAGCCCTGTCCTGGTGCTGTGTTTCTTGTTGTGCTGTTCTTCCCACTGCATTGTCATATCTTCATCTGAAGTATAGTCCAAGGTGTCGGCCTGTTTTCCAGGCGAGGCTGGTTCTGCTTCCTTTTTGGCTTGTTTTCATGTTTCCAAACCAAGCAGTGGCAGACATATTAAGAGCTTTTTGGAGCACATTTGTCCCTATCCAAGTCTTTCAGTTAAATGCTTGCCAACTGCAGCATTTTAAGCTTTGCAGTGTTTTGCTTGGGTATTCTGTTTGGCTGTTCTTCTGTGTGTTCTTGATTCTTTTTTTTTTTAATTGCAAAGCTTCAAAACAATTTTTTCTTAGTAGGATGGCGATAGCTTTGGTGCATCGAGGAGAAAGAAGATTATCTGCCAGCTTCTTGCAGTTCCCATGTCCAAAGCTTTTGAAGTAAACTGGAAACCACACTCAAATGAGTGATTTAAATATATCAGTACCAAAGAGGTAGACAATTTTTTACAGGACTGTCAGAATTCATTTGTAAATAATGCAGAGCCTGGTCATAACTGAGTAATAGTTTCGACAAATGACCTAATTTCTGTTGGTGACTTGAGACCTTCAAGTATTAGAAATGAGCCTACAAGAATGTGTTATATCGCAAAATACAAGACACTGTACAGATTAATAACTATTGTACAGATTAAATAACTGTAACAAATTAACAGTAGCAGAGTAATTAACTGTAACTAATGTACAGATTAATAACTATTTGTAGTGTGAATCCAGGAACCCTCCAGCAGAATAATGGGAGAATACCTGGATTTATTAGTCAACAATGAAAGCAGGCTTCCAGTTTAATGTGGTCGTGAAAAAACTGACTGTGACAGTGGTGTGCACACAGCCAAGCTTCTGGGTGACTGGTGAGACATTACTGTGTCCAGTTCTGATAAATCACATCCAGGAAAGAGGAGTTTGTGCAGAAGTACTTCCGGGAGGGTTACTGGAGATGAAAACAAAGCTTATCTACAAGAGTGCAGTGGGAATATTTGTTTGATTAACCTAGGAAAAGCAAATGCAAGGGAGAGTTATGAGTAACCAGTAAGGCAGGGTGGAGTCAGGCTCAAGCGAAAAGGCATTTAACCTAATGAGCAGCACTGATGGAAGAACACTGATCTAAACTGATTATAGAACACGGATCTAAACTGTCTCAGTGCAGTGAGTGAGGGCTTTGTCTTCTATGAAGAACAGTGAAAATGGACTTACTTAACAGGCTTTAAAATGTGTTGTGCATCAGAATAGGAAGATTATATGTAATTATACAAAACAGATTTAAGTGATCGATGTTGGAGGGAGGAGTTTTGGGCCTCCCTGACTTATCCTGAGACCAGAGCAACCTCCTGATGTTCAGCAGAAAAAAAGCTGTCAACTGCTGGTTCATGATGGGGAGGGTGGGAAGGCCACAGTTGAGAAAGAGGTAATAGAAATGCTCCCACTAAGGACATTTACACCACATGTTCAGTCTCTTAGATTTGATGGGCAGCAAAATGTAATTTTACTTAATAGTGTATGCAGGGGCCTAAGAAATGTAGAAACTGGAAATACAGAAGGATAGTGTATGTAGAGTATGGAGGATGTAGAAGAAAATTATAGGATGGTCAACAGGAGGAGGTGCTGGATGCTGTGACTGTTCCCAGGGATCTCACCGTAGCTGTTTTGAGGCTGAACACCTTGTCATTGTCCAGTGCTGTTTTTCTGAACTTCATTTTTGATTGTAATTCATCTGACAAGAGCAACAACACTGAAAATTCAGCTAATAAGTGCTGGAGGCTCAGCCCTGAAAACAAATATAATATCAGTTATGTGGAGTTATTTATAGTGAGGTGGAGAACATGGGGTCATTTAGGTACTGCCAGTCTGTTTTTATTGCATGTTGCTTATACTTCTGTTCTTCTTTACTGAAGAACGGGAGAAAAAAAAAAAAGGTAGTAAATTGCAGGGAAAGAGAAACTTCCTGCCATAAAAGATTGAATTGGGCAAGGCTTGCCAGGCAAATATCTCAGCCCACAGCATGCTTTCCCAGCGTGACTTCCTTTGTAGCCTCTCACAGGAGACTCGAGATTCATCTAGTCCCCCTGTGCTGTACAGCTGGGCTTTTGCCGGCTTCCTAGGATTTAGAAACTTCAGTTTTATTGCTCACTTCTCAAGTCTTTTTATGTCTTGTATCGAGCTGTCTTATTTCAAGCTTCAGTGGCCTGCGGCTTACCGCACTGTTTTATGGTAGCCTGGAGTTTCTCAATAAATATTGAATTTTTATCTTGCGCAGCAATCAACATACTGGTTTGTGATTTTTTTGCTAGTATTGTAGCCTCTGATTATGCATTAGGGTTTGTATTTAAAAGAGGAAAATGGCACTAATACCTATTTCCATTTTAAAGCCAGGGTTTGCCAATTCTTCACTATTAACAGTATCAGTTGCAAGGTGTACAATGTAGCAGCGTGACAAAGATGGGGGAATCCGTAGTTCCCTTCCTCTGAGAGCTGGTGATGGTCTTCTAACCCTGAAGCACAAGAAAATGTGTGATAAAGCTGTCTGTGCTACAGACTATTCTGGTGTACATTTGTTTTCCATGGTCAGGTGTTCTTTTAAGTGTTTATTAGTAGAAGAACATGATTTCCTGTCCTTGCTTACCATAATGTCTTTACATTCAGGCTGTCAATGCAGTTCCATCATCACATAGATTTCTCCTAATTGTGTGTCATTGCTGTATTTAGGAAGTGTTGAAGATTAAGATTTTGCTTCATCTTTAATATTTCTTCCTAGATAAATTGTCTTGTTAGTAGTGTCCATAAAGTTGTTAGCAAATTGGGGATGCAACTAGTTGCAGTGAAAGGTGGCTGACTTGGCTTACCCTGTCATTAGCATTTTAACACCTTACCAGGTTGTCAGACTAGTAATTTCCCTTTCACACCAGCAGTAAAGTTGTCCCATTCTTTTACCAAGAGCAAAATTATAAATGTTTGACACCTTTGTTCATGCTTTCTAGGTGAGAGCAGGAACTGTCCTTACCTGCAAAGGTGAAGGAGGCTGGACCTCCTCCATCATGTCTGGCAGCAGTTGGGTGGCAGCTCAGGTCACCCAAGAGCCCATCAGTGACAGCCAGATGATCGGAAATGTTCTTTGGGCAACTCTTTTCTGCCCAGTTTTAATTGCTTATAGCCTTCACTTAAACACATTTAGAGTCAGAAAGCTAAAATCTGAAGTGGTCTCTTGTACTTCCCGTAATCCACAGGGGTGAAAGCAGACCCTGGAAGCTGGATCTGTTAGGTCCCCAACTCTGCCCAACCCCACACTGCCTTTCTCCCTCTGACACCTGTGCTGGGCCATTTCAGCTCACTGAATTTGTAGAAAGTGAGCCCTGACTTTAAATAGAAATTGTTTTATAATTCCCAGCTGCTAGAGGCTCAGCCATGAAAGAAGAACAGAGTTAACTCTGTTAAACTCTCACAGTGTTGAGTTAACATCCTCAACTTAAAACAGTTTAACCCCCCCACCTATTGATTCCCAAGAGACTGTTTTGTGTTGTGAGGGAAAACAAATGAGATTACATTCCAGCAGAACGAGATTCAATTAATGTGTTTTCCCTTACAACTAGAGAGGACAACCAGGGTGAACACAATTACTGTGGCTCCACCAATAGATACTCATTAAATTGCTGTACCTGCCACTTTCAATTGTGTGATCCAGTCCCCAGGGTTTGGGTTCTTCTGGTTTTTAACAGTTTGAAAGAGATGGAGACAATAGGAGTAGACATACCAAAGTCTTCTTTCAGTCATAATTTAATTTTCTAACCAGAAAGGAGCATTAAGGTAGTTTCAGTCCCATGGGTTTATTTCAAAATTCGATAGGTCCAGAGATCCCCACAGCTTTCTCATTATTGATCTTTCCTAACACTTCTGGTTAACTGCTAAAAGAAGGGGATCACTTGTTGAGGGGTAGGAATGATGATTTTTAAACTGTTTTATGCAGTCAGTTGGCCATCCCTGTCATGTATTAAGGTCATTGTGTTTAATTGAAGATGGTGGTTAAATTAAAAAAGAGTAATTGCTCCTGGCACCTCTTTTTACTAATAGTGAAAATTTGATAAACCATTCCCCCAAAGTGCCTGGAAATCAAAGTGAAAATAGTATGAATTAGCTTGTGACCTGATTTTTACTGTTTTCAGTGGTTTTGGTGGACTTTTCCTGATGTATTATGGCATTTCACAACAAAGTTTTCCTTGCTTCCCATAAAGCAAATTAGAAATCTGGATGGTGCAA